GTAACCGACAGTTTTCCCTAAAGGTCAAGCCATTGACCTAGGAGCATGCAAAAAATTAGCCAGATATACTTAGCTTAAGTACCCTAAAGTCTGCGTTGAAATGACCCTCTGTTTTTCCCATAAAATACAAAGATTATATAGGGAAATACAACTGGTCAGTTTTGACCGCTTTACGAAGTTTTCCCAGATATGCCGAGTTTTTTGTGACACCCCTAGGTGTTCTTCTACCACCTCACAAAATATCAAGGGGGGTCGTCGGAGGAATTTTTTTTTCGTAATAGAGCTCATATAAAGAGAATTTCACTCGCGGTCGCTTTTTAGCCCTCGTCGAGGGCTTTGAGTGTAACCGACAGTTTTCCCTAAAGGTCAAGCCATTGACCTAGGAGCATGCAAAAAATTAGCCAGATATACTGAGCTTAAGTACCCTAAAGTCTTTGTTGAAATGACCCTCTGTTTTTCCCATAAAATACAAAGATTATATAGGGAAATACAACTGGTCAGTTTTGACCGCTTTACGAAGTTTTCCCAGATATGCCGAGTTTTTTGTGACACCCCTAGGTGTTCTTCTACCACCTCACAAAATATCAAGGGGGGTCGTCGGAGGAATTTTTTTTTCGTAATAGAGCTCATATAAAGAGAATTTCACTCGCGGTCGCTTTTTAGCCCTCGTCGAGGGCTTTGAGTGTAACCGACAGTTTTCCCTAAAGGTCAAGCCATTGACCTAGGAGCATGCAAAAAATTAGCCAGATATACTGAGCTTAAGTACCCTAAAGTCTTTGTTGAAATGACCCTCTGTTTTTCCCATAAAATACAAAGATTATATAGGGAAATACAACTGGTCAGTTTTGACCCCTTTACGAAGTTTTCCCAGATATGCCGAGTTTTTTGTGACACCCCAAGGTGTTCTCCTACCACCTCAGAAAATTTCAAGGGGGGTCGTCGGAGGAATTTTTTTTTCGTAATAGAGCTCATATAAAGAGAATTTCACTCGCGGTCACTTTTTAGCCCTCGTCGAGTGCTTTGAGTGTAACCGACAGTTTTCCCTAAAGGTCAAGCCATTTACCTATAAGCATGCCAAAACTGAGCCACATGTAAAGAGAGTAAGTGCCATAAAATCCGTTTTGAAATGACCCTCTGTTTTCCCCATAAAATACAAAGATTATATAGGGAAATACGACTGGTCAGTTTTGACCCATTTCCCGATTTTTCCCGGACATGGCGAGTTTTTTGTGACACCCCAAGGCGTTCTCCTACCACCTCACAAAATATCAAGGGGGGTCGTCGGAGGAATTTTTTTTTCGTAATAGAGCTCATATAAAGAGAATTTCACTCGCGGTCACTTTTTAGCCCTCGTCGAGTGCTTTGAGTGTAACCGACAGTTTTCCCTAAAGGTCAAGCCATTTACCTATAAGCATGCCAAAACTGAGCCACATGTAAAGAGAGTAAGTGCCATAAAATCCGTTTTGAAATGACCCTCTGTTTTCCCCATAAAATACAAAGATTATATAGGGAAATACGACTGGTCAGTTTTGACCCATTTCCCGATTTTTCCCGGACATGGCGAGTTTTTTGTGACACCCCAAGGCGTTCTCCTACCACCTCACAAAATATCAAGGGGGGTCGTCGGAGGAATTTTTTTTTCGTAATAGAGCTCATATAAAGAGAATTTCACTCGCGGTCACTTTTTAGCCCTCGTCGAGGGCTTTGAGTGAAACCGACAGATTTCCCTAAAGGTCAAGCCATTTACCTATAAGCATGCCAAAACTGAGCCAGATGTAAAGAGCGTAAGTGCCATAAAATCCGTTTTGAAATGACCCTCTGTTTTCGCCATAAAATACAAAGATTATATAGGGAAATACAACTGGTCAGTTTTGACCCATTTCCCGATTTTTCCCGGACATGGCGAGTTTTTTGTGACACCCCAAGGTGTTCTTCTACCACCTCACAAAATATCAAGGGGGGTCGTCGGAGGAATTTTTTTTTCGTAATATAGCCCATATAAGGCGCCGGTCAGTCGAGGTCAGTTTTGACCCCCGCTCCGTAGACTTTTTGCCGAACCGTCACCGGCCCTCGTGTTCTATCGCCATAAGGCACCTTCGTGCCAAATTTGACGCGCCTGCGGCGCCGGGAAGTGCCCTATCGGGCACCCGACCACTTTGCTTTATATATATAGATTAGAAAAATTATGGGAGATCACTTCCGGTTTATACTTTAGTTCAGGGGTCGGCAACCTTTCAACATGGAAGAGCCAAAAGTGTCAATCTACAAAATTTTCCAATTTTTATAGAGCCACTAACATTACTATGTACACTTTGGTAGTGAAAAGATTGGATCTATTGCCACGGGGTTGGCCATAACACATTTGTGAGGCTAGGCCAGAGTTTCTCCCCCCCCCCCCCCCCCCAACGAAATGTATATAGAAAACATACTTTAACCAATGACCCCCCCCCCAGGAAAATGTCCGCCCTCCTACGGAAAACATCTGAAAAAAAAACACTGGCCTGCTAGCAGTTTTCAACTGTCCATTTACGCACTACTCCACCTATTCTCGTTGTTTTTTATTTTGTCTAAAGTTGTTTGTGTTTTTACAGTATAATATTTTTTTTTAGTTTTGAAAATTAAAATAATTATTATGGAACTGGAGAGCCGCATATTGACATCAAAAGAGCCACATGCGTGGTTGCCGAACCCTACTTTAGTTAGCTGTCGTACATTTAGTGAACAGGCGCCATCACTAACAGGTTTGTTTTGGGGTCTCAAGGAGCTTGCTACATTACCTTGAACTAAGAATGAACTGTTATCGATAGACATTTTTCGTGTTCCTAATTGTAAACGCACTACATACACGCATCTTTCAAAACAAACTTGTAAAATGATTGTTTGACATCTAGAATTAATGTCACCACTATTTCCTTATAAATGTTACTCTGCATGAGCATTTATTTTCTGTTATTTCTCGACAATCTTGGCTGTATTAGCCGTAATTCTATCTTCTATTATACCTTCTGACATTGCTCATTTAATATTTAACTATATATATATATATATATATATATATATATATATATATATATATATATATATATATATATATATGTATACATACTTGAATTGTCTCAGAAGGTATACCAAGCTTGGAAGCAGTAACCTCAATAAAAAGTGGAATTATTATAAATATATGCATGCAAAAGGGCACAAAAGCATAATTCAAATACTTTAAAATATTTATATATTTAAACAATGACATGATGAAATAACAAGCATAACAAAAACATAAAGGTATTTTTTAATAATTTAGTTTATTAAAAAAACGTTAAATATCGCTACAATCTGACAGTATTGGTTGTTTAAAACCATTAAGTAACCTTCACCTTGAACCTTAGAATCTGTGCGTGTAAACACACAGATACACACTGAGGTAGATGTGTTTGTGGTACTTTATGTACTCAACACGAACTAAAAATGAACTTACGTTCTGTGCAGGCATCTCTTCGCCCTCCCCTCCGAACGGAATGGAATTTGTATAGAAGATATATACTTTTAACAGTGTCCGCCCCCCCCCCCCCCCACACAAAAATTCAAGTGCCCCCTTCCCGAAGAAAAAAGTCTAGAAGAAACACTGGCGTTTTCATGTGGTATTAATATCAAGGCAGTAATAAAGCTCTAACATTATAAGCTTATACTGTTATATCCGTAATATATAATTTACATTGGTAAAAAAAATCATATATGTGTATACCGGTGTATACATGCAAAAAGAGATCACTGGTACTAGCTTAAAAGACAAGTTGCCGAGTTACACCGTTACTAAAAATAAACAATGTTTGCTGGTGTCATTACTGACGTCATTTATTACGTAATTGATTTCACACCTGACGTATTAGCATGGCATGTCTTACAGAATATAACATTTGGTCAAAGTATTTACTCAATCAAGATCTCTACTGGTCTATGTATTTATCAATTCGATACATCTTCTGGTCAAACTGGTTATCAATTTCAACACGCCATTTTCAGACTTTATGGTCTGCTTTAGAGATCAGGCACAGCTCCTCTTACTGGATGGCCTAATTTAATGAAATGGTTCAATAACCAGTCTCACCTCGAGTTATATAGACATTGTCAATCGTTTAGAAAAAAAACAACAACATGGATTTCATTGACATTAAACTAAGCCGACGGATACTTACGTCAATGTAAAACAATGTATATATTGAATCTGTAAATTGAATCTGTATACGACAATTAAGTTATTAAACATGTATTTATAAATATGTTATAATAGTTGCAAAATAGAAGTAGCCTAATTTTTGTGTTTTTATATTGCATATTTGGCTTTCAAATGTGGTTGTTAAAAATTTATTGGGTTATGTATTAAAATAATCACACAAGTAAAGACAGTTTAACAAGCTTGTCTAGGACTTCTGTGTGCATATATATGCTTGTCTTATGGTCCATACTTTGACCAGCTTGTTTAAGTCCTGCTGGCACATGCTTGCTTGTCTTATAGTCTACAGTTTGACAAGCTTGTTTAGGAATACTGCTAGCACGTAAATGTTTGTCTTTTGGTTCATAGTTTGACAAGCTTGTCTAAAACTCCCTCTAGCACATACATGTTTGTCTTATAGTCTACCAAACACCTGTCCATCTTAACAGTACCATACACAGACTTTTCATTCCACTGAAAATAATCCGTGCACCAAGATATGCTTTTCATCCCTCGGACTATTTATACGCTACAGCTAAAGACCAGCAACCGGGCTCTAAAAATTCTAGAATGAAGACCTTGACTGATACATAGTCGTTTGCAGCTTAATCCAGCATTGATATGTCAGTAATAGGCAAACACCATCAAGATTTCTCGGTTCTGTTTACCAATTTAGGCCTACTTACAAAGCAGGAATGTAATGCTCAGTTATTTTACTAACACACGTCCAACTCGACCTTGTATGTGTTTTTAAAAGATTCTGGATTTCCCGTGGTTCTCTTCGGCGAGTTTGTAGACTTAAATCTACACTCTTAGAGCCGGATGTTGAATCCATTGTCGAACAGATCACCACGTTATTGCACTCGGCTAATCTCTGAAGAAATAATTAATAAGCTTGATTTAATTACAGTTGCTAAGACACTGCGATAGGCCTCATCTCAACACCACTGGGTACTTCATGCATCTCACTTCTTGTTTCATCGTTTCGACTATTTTCTTGATTGTGAGTTCCCGTAGAATACGTCTCGGAGTTAATTTTAGAATGCAGGAAAATCCGAAACGTATAAATAGCGAACAGGACGAGATGAACTAGGGGCACGAAGACGAGAATCCCCACAACGACGGTTATGGCGGTGGGGTACGCCTTGCCCCAGTCCACGACGCTGTAGATGACGGGGCGCCCCTTGATGTTCGTGCCGTCACAAGCGTAGTATATGTAGGTGAATAGAGCGTAGAGGGCGAGGTACAACATGGGGTAGATGAAGTGGAGGATCTGGCACGGCATGGCCGTCATCATGTGGTTGGTCAAGATGAAGACGGTGTTGATGCTGTGGACCTCCACACCAACCACATCTGTCGAACCTGTGGGTGGACATGTTTTCACTGTACATAACGGGTCGAATTCAAGAATTCTAAATATTAATAAGTACATTAAAATAGAGTTACATTTACTCTATAGAACTAGTTTATTTATGGTTGGTTTATGAGAAATTAAGCTGGCCTGTAAGCTCATCTAAAGCTCAATAAATTACCATCTGTTGGTAATAAAAAATTTTTAAAAATCTAGACCTCCCACATCAGCTGATAATTAATTTGGAGTTGTATGCCATAAACATCTACTCACCACCTAATGATCACAATCGATCAAACATTACCCCTAAATGACCAATTGACCACAATCGATCAAACATTACTCCTAAATGACCAATTGACCACAATCGATCAAACATTACCCCTAAATGACCAATTGACCACAATCGATCAAACATTACCCCTAAATGACCGATTGACCACAATCGATCTAACATTACCCCTAAATGACCAATTGACCACAATCGATCAAACATTACCCTTAAATGACCAATTTACCACAATCGATCAAACATTACCCCTAAATGACCAATTGACCACAATCGATCAAACATTACCCCTAAATGACCAATTGACCACAATCGATCAAACATTACCCCTAAATGACCAATTGACCACAATCGATCAAACATTACCCCTAAATGACCAATTGACCACAATCGATCAAACATTACCCCTAAATGACCAATGGACCACAATCGATCAAACATTACCCTTAAATGACCAATAGTGACAGACAACTTACCCTCGTCTGAGCACCCACTACCCTTCTATTTACCACTATTTATGACCAACATTTACCACTACCTACCACTAATTTACCACTACTGACCACCAATCGACCACCAACTAAAGAACAGACCCCGAAACGACCTCCAACTGACCCCCAACTGTCCCTCAACTGATCACCAAACGACTATCAACTAACCCCCAACTAACCCCCCCCCCAACTAACTCAGATATGACCCCCAACTGACCACCAACTGTCCAAGAACTGACCTCAAAATGAACCCCAACCGACCCAAAACTGACCCCCAACTGACCCCCAACTGACCCCCATCTGACCCCCAACCAAATCCTAAACTGACCCAGAACTTACCATTATATTCCACAGCCCAGTACATGATGGTCACCAATATGTTGACGCTGCCTATCATGTTGTACAGCAGCCACACCAACTTGAGGTACCACGTTGTGGTATCTGTCAAAATAAATGGTACTGCCAAATGGTCTATACAACTACAATACACTGCTGATTAGACAAAATACACTCACATTCTTATTACTTGTATAGACATGTATCTCGATTTTTACTCACTTAAAAAATAATTCGTTTTTGTTAAACTTCTAAAAAGAGAAATAAAAATATTTAGATTGACTTCGCTTTTAAAGACAATACTTTACCTTTAATTTTACTAAGCTCCTTTATCATTTTTAGCAAAAAACAAAACAAAATTACAACCAAATAAGCGGCGAGCGATATATGCTTATAAAGAGAGAATATGCCATTATTGTGTTGACAGACATAGTGAATCTACCTAATTATAATCTAATCGAACTGGATAGACTGAACAAGTTTGTAATAATGTCTTGAAATATAAACATGATGTCTATGTTATTTCTTTAGTAAAAGTCGCTCTACACGAGTAATGTCATGCTAAACCGAAAAGTCTCGAGTTCGAACCCTCGGGCAGATGAGGCTCGTTAGCTGGGGACAACAACTCTTCTATGAGAGACAACTCCAAAATCAAACAACTGCTGCCCTGTAGTTTGTTCTTGGTTGGACAAACGCTATGGAAGCAAATCCAAAAAGAAAAGCAGGCTGAAATCGGAGTCAATGGCCTCAATGGCGCATAACCAGCTGACACGTAACGCTTAATTGTGTTGGAGGCGTGGTCGAGTCGGCAAAAAGCTTATGGTTGATAAATTCGAAAAAAGTCTCGAGTTCAAACCCTGTGGCAGATAAGGCTCGATCCCTTCCAACACAAAAAAATTAAGAACGAAGAAGAAGAAGAGTAAATTCAGCCTTCTGTTGGTGTTAATCTTGGCAGTGGCGTCGCTAGGTAGGGTGTCACCCGACTCGGCATCTTATGGTGTCACCACTCCCCCCGTTATTTTTCTGTACATTTTTCAGTTGGTGTCGACCCCCCTCACCCTACCCCCTCCCTTATCGGGATCGTAATTATGTACTTAAAAAACGTTTTAACGTTAACTCTAATTAACCATTAATTGAACAGGCAACAACATATTTATTCCATATATCTTATAATTTTCTTGTCTGGTGTCACCCCCCGCCCCCGCCTTGCGACGCCTCTGAATCTTGTCTATATGATTCGATAACAACACTTGTGAAAACTAGCTCCAACGTTTTAGCGATAATGTCTAGTTTCTTTCTTTTTTGTAATTATATTTGCGAACGTTTACATTAACGTATACTGAGTAGTAGAACATTTAATTAATTTACATAAGGACAGCATGCAAGAGGCCGAATTTAACTTGAACATAGAACTTAGGTCATGGTTCAGAGCTTTGCTTAAAAATAAAGATCGCTGTCCAATGTGTTAATTATCGTCACTTGCGTTTCAATCCATCATAAGCTTTCGGCTATTTCTATAATGATATGACTGTTTGTTGTTTCTATTAGGTTGATACAAGCGATAAATAGACTTTGTTAGGTCTGTTGGGGAGAACTAGAGTCTAGATTTAATATTTAGGCCATGTGTGTATGAGTGCTTGTGTGTGTGTGTGTCTATACACACACACACACATATATATATATATATATATATATATATATATATATATATATATATATATATATATATATGTGTGTGTGTGTGCGTGTTTGTGTGTGTGTGTGTTCGTGTGTGTGCATGTGTGCGTCTTTGTCCTTTATGCATTATCGCACCTTTCATTCGATCTCTATGAAACTTAAGTGAGGCTTCTGCTAAATTAATATATATATATATATATATATATATATATATATATATATATATATATATATATATATATATATATATATATATATATATATTAAAGTTCCGCCCCTGATATCACCATATAGGATCCGCGCCTTGTGCAGACGAATTACTTTTCCCATTCAGTCCTAGATTTGCACATAATCATCGATAAAAACGTAATCAAAGGGAGTTAATAAAACATAATTGCCAGTTTTTATTTCTCAAACGGTTTATCGGGGACATGCTGTTAGGTTTAGTTAATATATTCAAGACAATATTTAGACATTTAAAATGTTTTTATATAACTCGTGACGTTGTGTTTTTAACTATTTCATATTGATCAAAAATTTTATAGAAATCATTGATTAAAACCTTATTATACAAATACTTTTCTTTATTATATATAAAGAACATTTCAAAACACGTTAGACAATAAGTAACATCATTGTTAAATTTTGGATCCTTTTAATTAAGGGAAATTAACAAGCTAAAATGAAACTATTGAGTCTTAAAGACCAACACATTTATGAAAGAAACAATAATTACTAATTTTTATCCAAGGTTTATTGTTGTGTCTCCCTTCTAATTTTCAATTTTTTGTGAAATATTACTGTTGGTCATCATTTAAGAATTAAATTATGCTGGAACTTTTTTACTTGCCATCCCCCCCCCTCGTTTTATACAAGAATATTCGCGAAAGTTTAGGGGATATCACTCCCGGTTTATTTTCAGATAGGAACTGTTATTAAGTGGACAGGCGGCACCAGTGTTCCCTCTAAGCTGCGCGGCTGCGCGGCCGCGCAGTACTTTCAAATGTGCCGCGCAGACATTTTCTGATGCCGCGCACAGATTATCAGAACGTCGGGCAAGTCTAATTCACTAGAAAAATTGTAGCCACTGGCTTGAATGAAGCGACATTTTTAGTACCTGTTTTGTTAAACAAACAGTCATTGTGTTTTGGGACATAAATAGAAACCCCGGATATAATTAACTGGCCTGGACCAAGCTGATACTTAAAGTTTCTGACCTCGGTTGTCATAGCACAGGTCTAGTTTATGACTTGCCTCTCACCTGAGCGGGGTACCGACCTAATGTCTCCCTCTACTTGATTTAATGGTTTACCCCAAAACTGATCTTAGCTGATACCTGAAAGGGATTGTGGCTACTAGCTGACCACGCAAGGTTTTTTTATTGCCACTACCCTCCCCCATCTCCCAACCCCACCCATTTCCTTGATACTTTGACGATTTACCCAAGTCAGATGCAAATTCTACGCTACTAGAGGTGGATGTGATTTTGCTGTTTGGTTTAAGCATTTATATACTTTATATATCCAATTCTTGGGATCATTACGTGCACCTGGATTGAACTGTTTCAGTGTTCACAAACCGGTTTGGTAAATAAGAAATAAAAGTTTACTACTCTGTGCTATTTGAAAATGTTGAAAAGAAAAATGTTTGTAACAAGCGGTAAAACAATGCAGCAAAAAAAAAGCGAGAGATTCGTTTAAACTGGAATGGCTCAAAGTTAAAGTAATAACCGATAGGCCCGATTCAAAGAATGTTTCAGTTGAATTAGGAAGCATCTATGAATATTCAGATGAGATTGGACTGAAGTGTAAGTTCTGTGCTGCTAGTGCGTGTAACAAAACCAACAAAGACAACGAATTTGTCACAGGAAAGCGTTGGGAATCATGGAAGCTTGACTACTGTAAACGTCATTGGTCTCGTGTTCACGAAGAAAATGTTGCGATTGTGTACAACCGCTCAAATGGGACTGGTCTTAAACGTCTGCTGGTTGAAACTAATAATGAGCGAGAAGAACGAATTGAACAAAATGAGCGCCAGCGTTCAAACGAGGATCAAGTTCGAATCCTAATGGATAATGTTCTTCTCGCCATTAGGATGAACGCCTCGATGCTGTCGGTACAACTGATTCATAACCACATGGGGAAGTATGTTTCTATACCAGACAGCTGGCGAAGTAAGAACTACGCCTTTGAGTTTGTTGAAGCAATCAACAAGGTGGTTGTAAAGAACATACACACAGAACTTCGAGTGGCATCGTTTCACACGCTTATAGTTGATGAAAGTACTGACATAACTGTACATAAAATGCTAATCCTTTATTTTAAATTTCGTTCAGTCAATTCTTTACTCTACAAAACCGTTTTTGGTGGGATAATTCAGCTTGCTGCATGTGATGCCTCAGCTCTGGAGGCAGCCATAACACAGTACTACACTGAACATCAACTTGACCTGAACCGCATGGTAATGATAACATCAGACGGGGCATCGGTTATGTTAGGCCGTAGGAAGGGATTAGCTGCTTTACTAAAGGCTTAGGTCCCCCATCTTGTTGAACAGCACTGTGTTGCTCATCGAGAAGACTTGACACTTTCTGACGCTTGGAAAGATGTTAATTTGTTTAAAAATATTGAGGTTCTCTTACGCACGGTTTACACCTTATTTAGTCGATCTTCAGTTAAAAAGGGCGCACGTGAAGAATTGGCAAAGGTGCATGTTATGGATGTAATTTCTTTTCGACCAATTTATGAAGTTCGTTGGTTGTCACGTCACTTTGCTGTCAGTGCTTTTGTTAAAAATTTTGACGCTTTAGCTGCTTACTGTGAAGAACTAGTCCAAGACTGCAATGATCATGTTTGTTGTTATATTTTGAGATCATTAAGAGATCCCCTGTATCAAGTTGCTCTGTATACCGTTAATGATGTATTAACTGAATTAGCTAATCTATCAATGTTGTTGCAGCGAAGTAATTTATCATCTATTGAAGCACATCAATTTTGCATTTCTAAAATACGCAAATTAGAAGCACAATACCTGAGTGAAGATGTTTATTGGAATGATAAAGCAAAGAAAATTTTGAATGAAAACGTAAGAATCGACACAAGACAAATAATACAGTTTATACGATCAGTCTGCGATCATTTAAATGTAAGGTTTCCAACAGATGAACTTCAGTTTTGGTCAGCTTTTGATCATACTGGTTTAAAAAATTGTGCATTTGAGTTTGGCGTCAAAGAGATTAAAGAACTGTGCGGAAAGTACAAAGAAGTGTTACAAACAACAAATGAAGAGTCAATTATCACGCAATACAACGACTTCAAATTTCAGATCAGCGAAAAACTCAAATCAGGTTCAGTAAATTCACTATCCGCAATCGCAGGAGTTGCTTTAAACGATGAACAATTTAGCTCACTGGCAAAGTTAATTGACATATTCTGTACTTTTCAAGCATCCAGCGCTGATTGCGAGCGAGGTTTTAGCCTTATGAACAGCATTAAAGTGCAAGCACGAAATAGACTTGAAGCCACACATTTGGGAAATCTAATGCGAATTAAATTGTATCTAAATGCTGGAGAGGATGTGGATTTAAACAAAGCATATAAGGTGTGGAAGCAAGGCAAGGTTAGACGCGAGAAATTGCAATGAATGTCCCTGAAAGGTTAGCTAATTTTGTTTTCAAGTCAGCTTTTTAAAATGGTTAACATGTAAAACTGTTGTATTTGTATTACCGTTATGGTATCAACATTATTAACATGATTTCATTACACTAACATAGTAAGTCAACCACATAACCTGTTGTCTAAGTATAACTCTAAAAGTTTCTGTTGTGAATTTTATTTTATTTAGATGAGATTCGTATCTTCTTTTAATTGCATACGTTTCACTAGTCCTACACATTATTCTATTAATTTATCAAAATGCATGCCTTCATTACTCTGCTTAATTGCAAGCCTAAACATACATATTAACTTGCCCAAGTCATTTTTAGCACCGCGCACACAACATATTTTTTGCACACACACTCTTGGTCCTTAGAGGGAACATTGGGCGGCACCTCCGGCATATTTGTTTTAGAGCCTAAAGAAGCTTGTTATATTGCCTTGAGCTAAGAATGAAATGTTATCGATAGACATTTTACGTGTTTCTTATTGTAATCTCACTAAATAGACTCAATTTTTTAAAACAAACTTGTAAAATGATGGTTTGAGATCTAAAAGTAATGTCAATTTCTATATAATAGTCACTCATGTTATTGCTCGTTAGTCTTAGCTGTATGATTCGTAATTCTACCTTCTTATTTTACTATTATTAATTTAGTGTATGTTTAAATTTGCTTGAGATGGCTCATTTGAAATAGAACTTAATAAATATTCTACATGCTTGATATGGCACAGGGGGGTATACCAAGAGTAAAAGCAAGAAGAGCTCAGTAAAATATGGAATTATGATAAGCAGTGTTTAAGACTTTTTTTCTCCGGGGAAGGGGGGGGGTGGGGGACTTTTGATATCTTCGGGGGGGGGGGGGACGACTAAACCTTTAAATTTCTTGGAGGGGGGGGGGGGGCAGTGGAAAAAGTATATATTTTTTATATAAATTCCATTTCATTCGACATTTTTCGAGGGGGGGGGGGTGGGCACCGTAGAGATGCCTGGAAGAAACTGATGATAAGTTTATGCATGGAAAAGAACATAAAAGCATAATTCAAATACTTAAAAAAATTCATAAAAAACGTTTTAATAACAAGCTTTTATGTAATGATGCACTAAAAAGTAGAAAATAAATTATAGACTACTATTTAAATAACTATAAAGAAAAGCGTGGGTCACTTTAGTATCTATTGGATACCTTTACTAATGTTAAGGAAGACACCCACGCTTTTCTTTATAGTTATTTAAATAGTAGTCTATAATTTATTTTCTACTTTTTAGTGCATCATTACATAAAAGCTTGTTAGTAAAACGTTTTTTATGAATTTTTTTTTCAGTACTTTACATGTTTTATCTACAATAGAGTTACATGACTAAAAACCATTGCGCGCCTACTGAATATCACGTTCAGTAGGCGCGCAATGGTTTTTGAACGCAGCCATTACGTGGTCGTGATGGCGCAGCTATTGATGACGCGTGTGGTGTGGTTGGCTAGACATGCCTACTAATTCGGTCCAAATTTTAATTAATTCATAAAAAATCAATTAGGCATCCAATTAAGTCAAATTTAGTTTCAGATTGCATTGTCTTCATGTCTTGACCCACGTGCCAACTGTGAATCGTGTCGGTCAAGTAGAACTGTCCGAATTTTCACTCCTGCGTTTCCGTCTAGACTGACGACAGACTGTCGACAGACAGAGGAAGTGAGTTAAATAAAAGCTTGTAAAAAATAAACATTATTTTGTTTAAACTATGACATGATGAGATAACAAGCATAACTGCAACAAAAAGGTATTTGTTAATAATTTAGTTTATTAAAAAAACAACGTTAAATATTGCTACAAACTGACAGTATTGGTTGTGTGAAACCATTAAGTAACCTTCACCTTGAACCTTAGAATCTGAGCGTGTAAACAAACAGATACACACTGAGGTAGATGTGTTTGTGGTACTCCATGTACTCAGCAGGAACTAAAAATGAACTTGCGTTCTGTGCAAAATTGAGCCGAGGCTCTTTAGCTATATGAAGGCGTCACTTGATTAATGAAATATAATGTCAGGCAAACGTGTTTATGCGTTTGATGATTAATCAGTCGAGTGATATAAAATTTTATGTTTTTCAACATATTTTAATACACTTTATTTATTTTAAAAAGATGTAGATGATACGTTACAGTTATTCGTGTTGGTAAGTTATGAACGGCACAAATGTTTTCCAGAGTTTCTTCCAGGCATCTCTTCGCCCCCCCCCCCCCTCCGAACGGAATGGAATTTGTATAGAAGATATATACTTTTAACAAGTGCCCCCCCCCCTCCCGAAGAAAAAAGTCTAGAAGAAACACTGGCGTTTTCATGTGGTACTAATATCAAGGCAGTAATAAAGCTCTAACATTATAAGCTTATACTGTTATATCCGTAATATATAATTTACATTGGTAAAAAAATCATATATGTGTATACCGGTGTATACATGCAAAAAGAGATCACTGGTACTAGCTTAAAAGACAAGTTGCCGAGTTACACCGTTACTAAAAATAAACAATGTTTATTGATGTCATTACTGACGTCATTTATTATGTAATTGATTTCACACCTGACGTATTAGCATGGCATGTCTTACAGAATATAACATTTGGTCAAAGTATTTACTCAATTAAGATCTCTACTGGTCTATGTATTTATGAATTCTATACATCTTCTGGTCAAATTGATTATCAATTTCAACACGCCATTTTCAGACTTTATGGTCTGCTTTAGAGATCAGGCACAGCTCCTCTTACTGGATGGCCTAATTCAGGGATCTCCAAACTTTTCAGTCCGAGGGCCGCATTAACTATAACATTTCAGTTCGGGGGCCAGTTTTTTCCAGGCATGTCTTTCATTTTTCTGGGAAAAGTTCCTCAGCAATCACAGACAAACGCTTTTTCCTTGTACAGAAAGATCTCCGCGGGCCGGATGAGGGGACTTCGCGGGCCGCATCCGGCCCGCGGGCCGTAGTTTGGAGACCCCTGGCCTAATTTAAAGAAATGGTTCGATAACCAGTCTCACCTCGAGTTATATAGACATTGTCAATCGTTTAGAAAAAAAAAAAAACAACAACATGGATTTCATTGACATTAAACTAAGCCGACGGATACTTACGTCAATGTAAAACAATGTATATATTGAATCTGTAAATTGAATCTGTATACGACAATTAAGTTATTAAACATGTAATTATAAATATGTTATAATAGTTGCAAAATAGAAGTAGCCTAATTTTTGTGTTTTTATATTGCATATTTGGCTTTCAAATGTGGTTGTTAAAAATTGATTGAGTTAAGTATTAAAATAATCACACAAGTAAGGACAGTTTAACAAGCTTGTCTAGGACTTCTGTGTGCATATATATGCTTGTCTTATGGTCCGAAGTTTGACCAGCTTCTCAATGTCGGCACATGCATGCTTGTCTTATAGTCTACAGTTTGACAAGCTTGTTTAGGAATACTGCTAGCACGTAAATGTTTGTCTTTTGGTCCATAGTTTGACAAGCTTGTCTAAGACTCCCTCTAGCACATGCATGTTTGTCTTATGGTCCATAGTTTGACAAACTTGTCTAAGACTCCCTCTAACACATACATGTGTTAGAGGGAGTCCATCTTAACAGTACCATACAGAGACATTTTACTCCGCTGAAAATAAACCGTGCACCAAGATATGCTTTTCATCCTTCTGACTACTTATACGCTATAGCTAAAGACCAGCAACCGGAATCTAAAAATTCAAGAATGGAGACCTTGAATTATACATAGTCGTTTGCAGCTTAATCCAGCATTCATTTGTCAGCAGTAGGCAAACGCCATCAAGATTTCTCGGTTCTGTTTACCAATGTACTTACAAAGCAGGAATGTAATGCTCAGTTTTTTTTACTAACACACGTCGAGCTCAACCTTGTATGGGTTTTTAAAAGATTCTGGATTTCCCGTGTTTCTCTTCGGCGAGTTTGTAGACTTAAATCTACACTCTTAGAGCCGGATGTTGAATCCATTGTCGAACAGGTCACCACGTTATTGCACTCTGCTAATCTCTGAAGAAATAATTAATAAGCTTGATTTAATTACAGTTGCTAAGACACTGCGATAGGCCTCATCTCAACACCACTGGGTACTTCATGCATCTCTCTTCTTGTTTCATCGTTTCGACTATTTTCTTGATTGTGAGTTCCCGTAGAATACGTCTCGGAGTTAATTTTAGAATGCAGGAAAATCCGAAACGTATAAATAGCGAACAGGACGAGATGAACTAGGGGCACGAAGACGAGAATCCCCACAACGACGGTTATGGCGGTGGGGTACGCCTTGCCCCAGTCCACGACGCTGTAGATGACGGGGCGCCCTTTGATGTCCGTGCCGTCACAGGCGTAGTATATGTAGGTGAAGAGAGCGTAGAGGGCGAGGTACAACATGGGGTATATGAAGTGGAGGATCTGGCACGGCATGGCCGTCATCATGTGGTTGGTCAAGATGAAGACGGTGTTGATGCTGTGGACCTCCACACCAACCACATCTGTCGAACCTGTGGGTGGACATGTTTTCACTGTACATAACGGGTCAAATTCAAAAATGCTAAACACCATTAAATACATTAAAATAGAGTTATATTTACTCTATAGAACTAGTTTATTTATGGTTTGTTTATGATAAATTTAGCTGGCCTCTGCTGTATGCTGATCTAAAGTTCAATCAATGACCAATCTAGACCTCCCACTGGCATCGGAGTTGTATGCTATAAATATCTACTCACCACAATCGATCAAACATTAACCCTAAATGACCAACTGACCATAATCGATCAAACATTAACCATAAATGACCAACTGACCATAATCGATCAAACATTAACCCTAAATGACCAATTGACCATAATCGATCAAACATTAGCTGGACTGCTAACCCGTAGGCCTATGTCTCGAGTTCGAATCCGGGTTCAAGTCAGTAGACCCTCCCTGAGTCCACCCAACTCTGATGGGTACCTAACTCACGTTAGGGAAAGTAAAGGCGGCTGGGCATAGTGCTGACCACACTATCTCTTCATATGCCGAGGTCACAGAAACAAGTGAACTCTACTTCACTTGCCACATAGACTGTCAGGTTTGAAAGGGAAACTTTACTTTACCTATTGACCACAATCGATCAAACATTATCCCCAAATGACCAACTGACCATAATCGATCAAACTTTAACCATAAATGACCAACTGACCATAATCGATCAAACATTACCCCTAAATGACCTATAGTGACAGACAACTTACCTTCGTCTGACCACCCACTAACCATCTATTTACCACTATTGATGACCAACATTTATCACTACGTACCACCAATTTACCATCTACTGATCACCAATCGACCATCTACTGACGACAAAATAAACATTAAATGAGTGTTATGCCATACTGTCTTGCTATTCACCTTTTACTGACCACCAAATAACCACTAACTGACCCCCAACTGACTCTCAAGTGACCACCAACCGATCCCAAACTGACCCCGAACTTACCATTATATTCCACAGCCCAGTACATGATGGTCACCAGTATGTTGACGCTGCCTATCATGTTGTACAGCAGCCACACCAACTTGAGGTACCACGTTGTGGTATCTGTCAAAATAAATGGTAGTGCCAAATGGTCTATACAACTACAATACACTGCTGGTTAGATGAAATTCACTCACATTCTTATTACTTGTATAGACATGTATCTCGATTTTTACTCATTAAACAATAATTTATGTTAAACTTATAAAAAGAGAAATAAAAATATTTAGATTGACTTCGCTTTTAAAGACAATACTTTATCTTTAATTTTACTAAGCTCCTTTATCATTTTTAGCAAAAAACAAAACAAAATTACAACCAAATATTACAACCAAATATTACAAAAGTGTAATAAAACGTAGGAACATGTACGAAGTACGTACACCAGTGTAAGACGAAATAGCTAAAGAAGATGGAACAATGTCTCTAACTCACATCCTTCAAGACCCTTCTCCACAGTGAACTCTCCTTTGAAGATGATTTCTTCCTTCAGTGGCAAGCCACGAGCCTCTTCATCTTTGGTCACCGGCACTATAGAGCAAAGTATAAAGTAATGGATGATTTATTTATTTTTTACAAAACACATAATTGCTTTATTTTATGTTAAGAAATATATGTTTAGTACTATAATGGTATATTTCTCGTTTTAATGCAATATTATTTATATGTTATGTTTTCATTCAACAAGATTATCGTGATTCTCTAGATAGTTTCTCTGATACGTTACATTTAGAAATTACAGCGATGAATGGGTTGGTACAACAGTTCATCCGTAACTCCCACTTAAAGACCTTGTATACGATTTCTTATGTATGAATAAGTCATATATTTCCTTTCCAGTAATCCATTGTCCTCGGTAATTTTATTCATTTTAGTAGTTGGAGAATGTTAGTGAGGGAGTGGGGTTGGGATCAGACTGATCTCTTCACCTTTAATCTATAGTATGTGCACCCACAAGACAGAGGGTGATTACCTAGACATTTTAAAATATATGAAGCGAGGTGCTATTCGTGTTTTTATATAATGTTATATGTCATATTGTGTATTATATACGATTTTTAAATTCCCTAACCGTATCCCAAACCCGGGCCTAACCTTGAGCTTTCATTCATCTGTAACATATACAATCCAACGTTGCGTACAACTGAATTTACACACGAAAACATTTAAGTTCCCCTTCCAAACCTGACGATTTATGGGGCAAGTGAAGCAGAGTTCACCTGTTTCTATAACCTCGGCATATGAAGAGTTCGTGTGGTCAGCATTATGCCCAGCCGCCTTTACTTTCCCTAACGTGAGTTAGGTACCCATCAGAGCTGGGTCGACTCACTAGACTTGAACCCGGATTCGAACTCGAGTATTACGTGTTAGCAGTCCAGCTCTCTACCGATAGGCCACTCATTCCCATACACAAAAACAGTACTCGCACAAATCTCCACACAAACACACACACACACAGCCATAAAAGTGGCGCTGACCAGTGACAGAACCTTTCCTGAAGCACGTGACAAACATTACAGCCAGCAGGTCCACTGTGCACGTGAGTGTCGTGAGCAGCAGGGTCGTGTTGGTCAGGTAGATGAACCACTTGACCCCCTCCTCGGGGTACCTGGCCTTGTTGAGCCGGGTGTTCACGCCGCTGCCTATGATCCAGGCCAGGTGCCAGACGAACCAGAAACACCTCCAGACCAGGTACACCCACCTGGGCAGGTTCCACTGTAGAAGATATGGAGGTGCTCAAGCTTTAAGACAATACATAACAACCCTGTGTTCACGTTTAGATAGATACCTGTGGGAGCTCTAAGCCCACAAGAGTTTTTTGCCCCGTCTAAAATAGTATCAAATAATACAAGCTGTTGAAAGAGTGTATTTAAAACTAATTATAAAAAAAAAAAAAACTTTCAAATAATTTTTTCCAAGCACATTTTGTTTTTCTAAAAGTTTTTTTTTAAATATCATGATATAGTGGAGTTAATTAAAATACTGTTATTTTTATACATTTTTAGACAGCTAATTTTTAAAATGAATTATCTTTATTGATTTTTTCAGAGTTCTTATCCGGTGTTTGTATGCTTTTAACTAAGATATAAATTAAGTATAAATAAACCGGGAGTGATCTCCCCTAAACTTTCTCGAGTATTCTAATATAACACTACGTGGGAAGTCAACTCGGAATATAGACATGATTTTTGTTTACTTAAACTTTTAAAAATAGAATAAAATCTAGTAGAAAAAAAATTGCGCACCAAGCGAGCACCAAAACCTAATGTGCGTAATAGTGCGCAATATTATTAGTACTTTAAAAATTTACATTAGTTTTTTGAGAAATCGGAAGTAGCGTAAATTACTACTTCCGGTCAACGGAAATTACTCAAAATTTAATAGAAGGTAGAGAATTAGATCTTTTACTTACATGTGAAATTTCATTTATCTATCTGAAATAGTACTCAAGTTATAGGCTTTTGAAAAATTCAAAGTAGAAAAAGTACCACTTCCGGTTGTCGGAAATCACTCAAAAGTTGATACGGATCTACGATTTTGATATAATACTTATATATGAAATTTCATCAACCTAGCTGTAACGGTACTCAAGTTGTCGTGTTTACACACAGACACACAGACACACAGACACACACACACACACACACAGACAGACATACGGACAAGATTGCAAAATTATGTTTTTTCGTATCAGTGAGGTGTAAAACGTCGAGATTTGTAAAAATCTCGATTTTTTTTTTTTTGCACGATTACAATACTTTCTCTATACTACGTACATACGAGAAAGTAAAAAAAAAAACGAATCTTACAGTTGTTTCTAATTATTTTACTGTACTAAACAAAATAGTAAAAATGGTGGTATAAAGAAAATGGTCGTCATCGGCGAGTCTACCTTGAAATACAAAACTAATCAGGGAAAAAAAGCGGATCCTACGTAGGAATTACATTTGTGTGTATATTTAGGGAGGACAACTGACTGAGCAGCCACCTACAAGTGTAGAATCGCCGCTGCCCAGCGTAAAAAGTACCTGCGATCTAATGAAAGCATCGGGATCGAAATAGCCCAGGCCCAACTTGACAGGCCGGAACTCCGCTTTCAAGGACGTACTCATGGCTGTATTCGACTACTTGTCCAGTATCGCCGGACGATCTGGAAACGAGACTTGTATCCCTTGTCACGTGATGAGTGAGGTCAGCTCTATGGGTTATCTGTGAGTTATCTACGGGTTATCTGCAGAGAGAGGATGAGTGGGATGACGACAAACAGAAGTAAAAATGTACAACCGTCGGAAGCCGACAAACTTTGTTTATGTGAAGGGGGGGGGGGGGGGGTTGAGTAACAGAGCGCCGGTTTTATACCCAGAAGGTTTGAGTTCAAATACAAGAAACGAAACCTTATGATGTCCACGAGTTCACCCAGCTTGTATGGGTACCTGACCAAAGTCACCAATGTTTTTTTTTTAAATTATTATTTGTTTTTTGCTTAATATTATTTAAAGCTGTGTTTACCTGTTTTTACGGGACGGTGTGGCCAAACGGTAGAGATAGACTGCTAACCCGAAAGTCTCGAATTCAAATCCGGGTTCAAGTCAATAGCTCTGATCGGTAACTAGCTCACGTTAGGGAAAGCAAAGACGGCTGGGAATAGAGCTGACCACATAATCCCTTTAAATGCCGAAATCTCTGAACCAGGTGAACTCTACTTCATCTGCCCCCTGTTTTTTGGTCAAGAACAGAAAAAGATTATAATACTTGTATTTAACGTTTCTAAAAGCTGTTGGCGTAATAAAGTATGTGGTAAAATGAAATTAGATTTAAAACCTATAAAAAATGAGATCCGTAATTCTCACGGTTCAAATTACCCAAAGAAATGTATGTGTTGATATTTGAATTCTTGATGGCACTATGGAATTTCTTTTGTTGACTCAATGTGCCACCTTTGTCGTGTTGACAAGGAAGAGAAATAATGTTACCTGTATCGTCTGTTCAATAACCTTGAGCTTGTAATTTTTGAACTAAAGATTTAATTTATGTCGATCTACTTGTATAAGGACAGAGTGTAGACAGTAAGCGTGAAGCGGAATTTACCTTTGAACTTACACTTTGCATTTTGCGCAGCGCGATAGCAGTGGTGCTACACAGTATCCATCAAACTATCTATAACCAATTTTTACATTTACTATTTTAGCTTACGCGCATAGCTTTAATGATATAACTGTTTGGAGTTTCTATTAGGTTTCAATAAGATTATCAATTTTCTATTTCGAGAATACAAACTATAAATAGAGCCATTTGTTAAGTCTGTGTTAAGTCGATTCGATTGGAAAAACTCTATTTAAGAATAAATCTTAAGATTACGAAACTCGATTCTAGATTTAAGATCACACAATAATTAAGGCTTTTGCTGGACTATTTCAGGCTTTCATTATTTCTTAACATTAGAATAGGCTTAAATAATATACAATTTAATTAAACTTAAGATTGGAATACGCTAAATAATACCAAATATTTTCACCAATCAGAGTTTCTTCCAGGCATCTCTTTGGTGTGTATGTGGGGGGGGGGGGGGGGGGAGTCTACCGAAGATAGTCTACAGTACCTCGCCCCCATCCGAACGAAATGGAATTTATATAGAAAATATATACTTTTAACAGTGTCAGCACCCCGTAAATTTTAGCCACCCCCCCCCCCCCCGAAAATTTCAAGTGCCCCCCCCCCCCCCGGAGAAAAGTTTTTTTGTTTGAATGTTCCCACCCAGATAGTGGTTGGAGGGAAATCTCAAGCATGAGTAGGGCTCTAAATGAGTGGTATGTTTTTTTACGTTTGGTTAAATCATTTATTTATTTCATAATTATTACGGGTTTTGAATGTCCGCTGAAGAAATATCCACACCAATGCGTGGACTGCTCTGAATGATATGCTAAAAATACCATTCAAATGTTAGAATGAAAGAAGATAAATAAAGTCCTCTTATAAGGCGGCTGGGCATAGTGCTGACCACACTATCTCTTCATATGCCGAAGGTCACTTAAACATGCGAACTCTACTTCACTTGCCCTATAGACCGTCAGGTTTGAAAAGGGAACTTTACTTTTTTTTATAAAAGTATGTTACATATTTGAATTACACTATGGCCATACACTTGTCCAATATTGATTACCTACATACATAAAACAGCTCGCAAACCTGATATGTTCCTTTATATAGAGTAAATTAATAAAAATTGCTTTGTTTTTTTTTGATAACTGCGTGACAAAAAAACCACACCTTATTTCGGCTTTTTGCCTTTTATCTCTATTGTGAAAATAAAAATTAAAAATTAGAAAAAAACTACATCAATATAAACAGAGGCACTAGTAAAACAATTTTTATCGATTCTTTTTTTTTCTATTCGATCAACACAAATTTAAAACCTTACAATAATCAGCGCTCTGTTTTAAAAAAAGTTTAGAATTCACATTGTGATGATTTCGCTAAACACGATGAACATTGAGCTATCGAAGTTGGAAATTGAATTGTCCATGTTGAATATTGTGACATAAGAGTCGAAAATTGTGCTGTAAACGTTGAAAAATGTGTTGTAAAACTTGGAAATTGTGCTGTATGAGTAGAAAATTGTACTGTGAAAATTGAAACTTGTGATGTAAAAGTTAAACATTAAGCTGTAAAAGTTGAAAATTATATTTTTAAGTTAATAATTGGGTTATTGACGTTACAGATTAAATGAAAGAAAAAAAAACCCATAGACTACGTCGCCATTACTGTCGATACTTACATTAAGTGTGTGAAAAAATTCACATTCAACTCTAAGTATAAACCCTCCTTTCACGTTCGCAGATATTCACACGCGCTATGTGAGAGTACACAAAAAATGTCAGGTACGCTATAAGTGTGGGGAGGGGGCGAGACGGGGAGTTTGATATGTGTGTCAAAGGTCATGAAAAACAATAAAGCTGGGATAAAAGTCTAGACAGAAAAAGTAGGTTAATAAATAAACAGTCCCGAAACCTTGGGAAGCCACCGGCTACATGCCAGATTCGCTACCACACCAGCGGGCTACCGGCTAGCGGAGAGATTTAAGTTCCGCCGCGACGACAGCTAAGCATGACGGGAACGTCGACTGACGTCACGACCTGTTGTTTATGAGAACGATACAGCTCGGCTGATGATAAAAAATGTTTATTTATTTTTTATTTATTTTTATTTTTTTTTGTAATGGTCCGCATGCTGTTGTAGTAAGCCGTTAATGCAGGATTTGTATGAATAAGGCGTTTTCTTACCAACGGCAAATTGTTATATAATCAGCGTTTCTTCAAGCAAGTCTACCGCCCCCCCCCCCCCCATTCCCCGAACGAAACGGAATTTATATAGATTACCCAAAAATTTAGTCCGCCTCCCCGAAAATATCAAGTGCCCCCCCCCCCCCCCCTAGAGAAAAAAGTATGAATGTAACACTGAAATCAACTTTCATAGTATGTTGATTTATTATTATAATTACCAAATTAAATTGTATGCGTTTTCCGGTCAAAATTCTTCTATCTGTCATACTTGCTTAAATGGTGCTTCCTTAATAGTGCTTTCTTAGGGTACTTTCTTTCTAATTAGTACTATTCCTCTTCTTTAACTTAGTTCATAATTATAAAATTGAAGAGGGATTTCAACACAATTAAGTATTACGTGTTGAAAAGGTTTTTGGGCAAGATGACCAGTTGCCCCCATCCCCACCCTCCCTCTTTCTGCCTGCTTTTCTTTCTGGATTTCTGGATTTGCTACGACTGTAATTCAGCAATGTTTTGAATTTGCAGTATTTTGACATAGATGGGTTGCTGGCTACAGCTAATGTCCCTCGTATACAGGGGGTACGAACTCGGGACTTTTGTAGTTAGCAGTCATACGCTTTATACCCGACCATCTATTTTAAAATTAGTTACTGATACTTTATTGATCGTTCATTATCTAATGGTTCTTTATCAATGGTATTTTATTAATGGTGCATTCTTGACGAACTGTATCTTCAGTTTTTTCATAATTGCACATTCTCAGTTGTACATTTTCTCAGGACTACTTTTAATATTGCTAAGATGTAAATAGATAAGTAATAAACACATTTCTCAGCCACATTAAAGTGTCACAACTCCCTAAAATCACCAAGACATCGTGACATAGACATTAAGACACTCGGAACTTTAAATGTCTTCCCCTCGTCTCATATGACCTAGGCATCAAATAATCTAACTGCAAACTCTGAAAGTACTGTTTTAATGTAACATTATGGATCAGTTGTGTGTCTTACATAACAACTGATATAGTAGCACTTGTGTTTGATTTATCGACTAGATCAGTTGAGTTCAAAACTGTCTAACAAATAAAAACTTTAAGAGCGAAATTCGACGCGTAAGTCTGACAGGATTATGTTGTATTGGAGTAATCAAGACTGGTTTTTAGTCAAGCAATTTATATATATATATATATATATATATATATATATATATATATATATATATATATATATATATGTGTGTGTGTGTGTGTATATATATATTTACATATATACACATACACACACGTATAAATACATATATATATAATATATATATATATATATATATATATATATATATATATATATATATATATATATATATATATATATATATATAATAGATAATTTTTGGCTCCCAATGTTAGTCGAACTTCAAATATTTCTTCACAATAAAATCTTTAATCTAGATAGATCTATCCAAATTACTATGTAATTCACGCCACACCATTTCAGTTCTTTAGGCAACCATGAAGTAGAGGGTCACTCTACAGTAGAGTACTATCAGCGCCACGACTCTATCCGCTTACTAGGCTACGTCTGCCACTAGCCTAAGTACCAACACTACCCACGCCACCAACGGCACGCTAATAAATAGCTACATTCCGCTCAGTTCTCAACAACAACCAACCAGTAACACAGGCATACTTTGGTCCTGTTTATATTCACCTTAATCCAGTACACGTACATCGAAATTATCACGCTACTATCAATAACATTTTTCTACTAGTATATGGCTCTTACAGGTAATAAAATAAAACTTAACAATGGGGTATATACAGGTAGGCTACTTACTTACGGTATAAAATTTTTACAACCAAGCCAGAGTGAGAAATCACTGACGAACTGACGAACTGAAGAACACTCCTTTTAGGTTATGAAATAATTTGAGTCCAATAAATAGAACATCA